TCCAGGCAGATCTAAAGGAGCTAAGGAATTTCGTGACAGACATACAGACAGACAGACAGATAGACAGACAGACTAAGCGCTTTATAGTAAATATGATAACCAAATGCTAGTTTATCGTTTCCGTAAAATTGTTTTACTGACTTCGTTCTGTTCATACATACACATCATACAACTTTTCGAATAAATACTGATACCTGCAAAGTACTGCAAGTCTTCCGGCTCATCAGCTTTGTTTTCTCCATCGCAAAGTTTTGAAACGTAGATTGCTATGGATTCATGATTCCCGAACAAGCGATCGTCCAAACCGAAGTGCCCGTTGGCGTTCGACTCTGTGTCATTCACATACACGACTTCTTCAGGACTCTGAATTGATGACCATCCTCTCAAGGTGTCGACAGGGGGGTGTGCACTTGCAAATTTTGAAGGAAAGATCTCCAGGAATTCACCTCTTTGATTTCTATTTCTGGAACAGTTCCATCATGCGGGCTTCCACTGCTGAAAATTTAAGTATATTTCGGCTCATTACGACTGAAAAACACGCCTTCAGGGCTTCTTAGTAATCTCTGGGAAACGCCATACCTACGAAATGCAAAAATGAAATTTCTATAGGATGCAAATATGTCAATCTGAATGGAATGGGGAGCACGCCATCGGATGGTGGACAGACGGAAGATGGTCATGAATTTGTTAACATTGGTCTTCACGAAGAATGTGAGTGAGACTGCACCTTTGCTTCTGTCACAGTCCTCTCTTGAAGGAAGAAAAACTTCGAAAAAGTTGACTTCAAAAAACGTGGTGTAAAAAAATCATGGTGGCAGTTTACTGCGAAAAAAAAATTGTGCACAAACCATTGTTTAATAGCTCTTTTAATGATGAATAAGCCACAGATTTTAACCCCAAGCATGAATATTGGAGGGAAACTTACGAGCTTTCTGCAGTTTGTGTGGTTTCCCTTCGACACAGTACTTCAGTATTGAGGCGATACTTGTTGGCTGCTGACAGGCTGGCGATTCGCAGAACCCTTGGATGGAAGCGACAAACATTTTCAAAGTTGACGTCAACTTCCTGGAAAGGAGAGCGCAGACAATATTTTACAAATCTGCTCTCTATACTGCAATTTGGTGTTTCAATAAAAAG